TACTACTACTACTACTACTACTACTACTACTACTACTACTACTACTACTACTACTACTACTACCACTACTACTACTACTACTACTACTACTACTACTACTACTACTACTACTACTACTACTACTACTACTACTACTACTACCTGTATTCTCAAACTCGAGCAGTGTGGTTCGGTCCAGCGACTTAGCACGTGGACCCTTCCAATCGCCGTGCTCGAACCTAACCTCAATCGTATCTTACCAAGAGCAACCTAAGATACCCTAAGATTCCTACATCTCGCCTGCATATTGCAGCTGCTGTCCGAGCCAGTTGTCCACCTCTATTGCGAAAGTCTTCACCATTATTAACCAAATTAATACAAAACGACTCTTTGTGCTGCAATATTAATTGATGTGTAAAACGCGCGCGCCATTCTAATCGATTTGGCCCTTCCAATTCGATTCATCCAACCGCGCTTCCTCACCATGATCACACTCATTATAACGGTACTGTTAGTGGCAGTGGCGGGAGACGTTACGGCTGATGACTACCAGATGATGGTCAACAAATGTGATGCCCAAGTCGACTGCATTAGTAAGACAGGTTACATAACCAACTTGCCTTCCATGTCGGTATTAAATATATTGAAGTTTCACGACCCGTTTTACGTGAAGTGGCGTCGTAATACTCGGTGAAAAACGCGATATTGTGGGTGATATGCAGTAGGCGTGAAATTTGTTCTCACTAGTGTTTTTCACATCACTAGGGTGAAACTCTTTTTTTGCTTTTCCCGAAAATGTTCCCTCTCCGTTCGAATGTTTCCTGAAGAAAAATACTTCGATAATTAATTTTTTTAAAATTTGCTTTCCCATCTTTCTACCACACCTCCCCCAACTTCCACGACATCAACTTTCCAAAACTACGAATAAGAATAAAATCTATCCACCCAAATTCTCCATTCCTCATCAGGTTGCTATAACTCATCCTACCTCTGCCACTGGTGTGCCGACAACCCCTCGGACCCTCCCGGTCCGGACATCAGAGGGACTTGCCACTATAAAGGGTCGGTTTACGGCTGTAAATATGGTAAGGGGGAGGGGTTGGTGACAATATGAAAGTTGCGATAAAATTCTTATTAGTTTCTGTGCATTTCTACCCGAATTTCTATATATCAAAAATATGTAGATTTCGTCAAAAGAGAGCATAGATCTTAACACTGGGAAGTGTTCCGGTTCAGGAGCCTCCTGTTCGAAAGATGCATGTGCGTATAGTGACTGTAATACATGTGAAAAGGCTGGATGCAAATGGTAGTATCTTGAGGTTGACCGTGTAAGATACGGAATAGGTCCACATGGTAGGTGCGGTGGTGACCAGCAATGTCATCATCAATATAGTTGGAACTGCGCGATGTCGAGTCAATGCTTCCCCAACTCGGAATGTCAGAGGAAGGAGCCTCTGTAAGATGGTGGTATCTTAGGTTCCTCTTGGTATGATACGAATCATGTCCGATGCGAAAACATCAACTACTCCAAGGTTGAACTCGTTAATAGATGACTTCTATAACCACATTTCCATATTTCATTCACTATATAAATCGCCATAATATTCATTCTCACGAGCCAGGGAAGAGCTCCCAAGGCTTGCTTCTTCCAGATACCTGGGCTCCGAATGGGCCCCTCGAGCTGTCGCCTGGTCGTTGATATTAATCCTTGTCATTGCCACAACGTGTGGGGGGATGGTCATGTTTAGTTGCAGAAGGATGAAAGTCGGTACATACGAGTCGATCATTCTGAGTGCTCTCATTAACAGGCGTGGCATTGTTGTACTGTTCTGAGTGGATAACCTCCGCGAAAAATTGTCAAAAAATTTCCGAAAAAAATGTATTTTTTTCTGGAAAAAAATTTGGGTGCATTCTTGTCCTTTGTTCTGTCAGAATGCTGTGACGCGGGCCAATCAGCTCGATCGTGAGTTGGCTATGCAGACTAGGCAGCGAATGGCTAGGCGGAGGGAACTTTCGGACGGAGGTAAGAACTGTGTGAAATCGACACGAAATCGGAACATTTCACTCACTTATCAGCGGACGATTATCTACTACATGATGCTGGTAGTGATACTGGGTTGGAGATTGGGGAGAGGATGAGAGGCTCCGACGTTTTATCGTTGGCCTCTTTATTGGACCCCTGTGCATCCTGTCTGTACAAGACCCTTGGATGCTGTTGGGCTGTCGGAATGTAATGAGAGACGGAATAATTCACCCGCTTTAAAACGTTGGCTCTTTAAAGACTTCTAGCTTGGCTTAGATCCTCTTCCAGCTTCCTTCCTGTTATTCAGGGTACTACTGTTGGTTGTAAGCATCTTGATAGCTTTGGCGTGGCCGCATCAACCTGTTGTCAATTACTGCAATGTAAGCTGATTTGAAAATGGTGTGGTATAACTCCTAGTCGGTTAAATTCAGTGTTGGTATATATGTTTAGTCCCCCTCAGCTCAGGTGGTGGGTTTTCTCACTACATTTTGAGAATTCATTTTGAACTTTTCTACCCGCTGGACGAGTTGATATACAAAGCGCATCGGTTTACAACTTTTCCGGACCGATTTTATTTTTTCCGGAATTTTCGAAAATTTTCGGCTTATTTTTTAATGCCTTTTTTCGGTCAATAGATTAAATTGACCTCGGCGCCCTTGAGGTTGCTAATTGGCAATAGATGGTGATGTGGGGCATCCGCCCAATTACGCTCCTCTCAACGGTGTTCTTCTCGTCAACACTGCCCCATTTAGAGTAGCTGATGGAGTTCAGGTTGAGTTGGTATGGAACAGGACATTAGCGATGGTGGTGGAGAGTGCCTTAGTGAAGACCGACATCGAGATGGAGTCCCTGGTGTCCATCTATAACCCCAACAGACTCGGCGCACGGTACGCTCTTCCTCATCCTCGTCCTTCTTTCCACATTATGTGTGGTCAGGATCAATCAATTGTCTGGCAACATCTACTATAAAGGGGCTGGTATAGGGACGATGGCTCTGCACAATTTCGAAGGTAGTCATTATAGTGACAGCTTGCCTGTCTACTCGTCATGTTTTTGCTCATACCATTCCTTGGCCACTTCATATCAATATCACACTGCGCCATGAAATTGTCGGCTTCCCCTCAGCGCCTGGCGGGTACGTGTCTGATGGTCTCGGCTTAATAACGTATAATGCACTGGATCGGGCAGCGGAGATGCTAATCGACTATAAATGGAGTAAGAGGAATGCCATTGGACCCCGTGGAGGTCAATGATATCAGCAACATACCTCTTGTTTAGATAAAGATTTGGTATTGACAGTAACGGGCACGATATCGTTTGACATACTATGGTAAAGCAAATCGATCAACTGGGCGCGCGCTAAGTTCGTTTGCTACTCACCAGGCCGAATTCGGAGGTCCTCACGTCTTTATCGGCGAGTTTGCCTCCTGCTGTGATTAACGTGAATAAAGTGCCGGATCAAAGATACTGCAAATGTCAGGTGAACTCTGTGGAGAAGTAACGTATTGGGGCGGAAAATATCTCTCTTTTTTCCCTAGGGCAACGTTACTAAGGGGTCCTAGTCAACTGCTGAGGAGGAGGCTTTGAATTGGGCATTTATGTCTTGAATAAAACGTGTAGAATTATGAGCAATTCTGGTGAACATTTTTAATGTTATCATCTGTTGAAAATTGGCTTTGAGTCGGATTATGCTGGGCTGTGGCTTCCTCGCAGTGATTCATAAATGCTCCCACTCCTGCCCCAGCAAGGGCCACTGCCCTTTGCGGTCCATCCCGACGCTCATAGACAGCAGCCACTGCCACCACTGTATCCGATGTCGCCTATGGGGGTAGGGGGGGGATGAGGACGGTTGGTGTTGGTACTGTTGTATATCAGAAACCGCCTCCGAGCCCTCAACGGGGAGTGTCAGCACCGGTGGGAAGGGTGAGTTGGGGAGGAAGGGGCTTTCAATACAATTAGACGGGTTGTAGCGTTATGTCATCAGTGATTGAGGAGAGAAATATTTGAGAATTTTCGAGGATTGATCTTAGCAGTGTATTATCAAATCAATAACTAGGCTGAGATGAGGGATCGATCAGCTTGTGCGCTTAGTGGACAGGGATACTGTCAGCAGAATACAAGGAGCTACCAACATGTTAATGAGAGCTTGCCACTTGCTGTCCTCGAGTCAGGGCCTTGGCCAAGGCATTCATGCTGCCTACCAATACAAGCCGGTTACGCTGGGAGGCTCTCCGATGCCATACGTTGGTGGAACTCCGCAGAGAGTACAGCAACAGTCGCTTCATCATAGCTGTCCGCTAGGTGGAAAAGCTGGATACTGTTGGAATCGTGATAGCTTGTTGTGCAGGTGTGATCGGCCCACCGCAGGCCTTCTTCTCACCACAACATGCGAGGGTGCCGAGCTTGATGGGAGGATTGCCCCCGAGAGGGATGCCGTCGGTTTCCCCGATGCCGTTCATGGTGGTTGTGGCAGTGTATGCGTGAGATGGTCATTGCTGTTGGTCAGGGGACTCCTCTTCCTGGACCGCAGACAGCACGGCAGATGGTTGAAAGGAAGGAGGAACAGGCGAAGGCGAGTGATGAGAATATCTTTGAGGCTAGGTTGAAGCGTGATTCGGATGGCGAGAAGAAGCCTCCTGTCCCTGTTGATGAAAATAGTAAAACTGTTGGTAACAGCGAGGAGGGGGTCACGAGATTAAGCGCATATGTAATTTGCCGATCGCCGAAGGTTCGTCTTGTGCCGGACTTCCTCACTCCAGAGGAATGCGAATACATGATATCACTGGCTGAAGGGAAGTGGAGACCAAGTACGGTGGGAAGGAGTTCTTCTTCCATTTCTGATGGAAAAAGTGACAAATATGTGAACAAGCGTTCGAAGGGTCGGACCTCGAGCTCCTTCATGCTCCTACACAGCCAGGATGATGTCGTAGCTGAGATTGAGCGCCGGGCCGCCAGCCTGGTGGGCTTTCCTGCTGACCACGTTGAGAGGCTCAACATGCTAAGATACGAGTCTGGAGAGTTCTTTGGTCAACATCATGATGGGGCCTTCAGGCCTTGGACAGTATTCATCACTCTTAATGATATTCCCCGAGGGGCTGGAGGAGAGACTCTATTCCCGGCCCTGGGATTGAAGATTCGACCGAAAGCTGGTACGGCTCTGGTGTGGCCTAACTGCCTTGAAGATGGCCAGGCAGACGATCGAGTAGTTCACGAGGCTTTGCCACCCACAGGGGTGAGGAAATATGCAATTAATTGTTTCGTTAACGAGAAGCCCGTTGCCGAGCTGGTAAGGAGTACCAGCAGCGTTGATGGTGACGATCCCAATAATCTCTGGTTGGAGTATGATGACTAGAAGGCTTCTCTAATGACGATGATGCATGCTGATTTGCACCCACGAACGAGATCATTTCAATCGATTAATCGTATTGAGTTATCCTGAGTGGCATGGTTTCTATAGTCGTGTCGAAGGGCTTCGTCCACACCAGCACCATTACAGCGATGTTGGTGTGTGGATGGCTACTGCTATGTGTGGGATATCTCGACTCATCTGGGGCAGTTATGCCATCCGACCTGGACTATATACCAATCCTGTTGGGGGCAGTTATGCCATCCGACCTGGACTATAAACCAATCCTGTTGGGGGCAGCTATGCCATCCGACCTGGACTATAAACCAATCCTGTTGGGGGCAGTTATGCCATTCGACCTGGACTATATACCAACCCTGTTAGGGGCAGTTATGCCATCCGACCTGGACTATATACCGATCCTGTTTGGGGGCAGCTACAGTAAGCTATCCCGATCTGCACCATATACCAATCCTGTTTGGGGCAGTTATGCCACCCCAACCTGGACCATATATCAATCCCGTTTTGGGGCGGCTATGCCATCCCGACCTGTACTACACACTCAACCCCGGGGAAACAAATCAAGCCGAATGAATAGTCGGATGAGAAATCGGAAAATGCATCTGAGTGTTTACATTTCTATCCATGAGTTCTTTGATAGGAATACTTCTGCGGATCAATTAGCGTCACCATTTTAACACTATTGACAGCTCCAGTAGCAAACCATGGAATCTAAATTTCATCATGAAAATTTATCAGTGGGGAAGGTACGAGCTTAGCAAGAGGTTGTTATCATTGGAACGAAGTCTCAGAACGCTCCGATGTCACAGTATATCTGAAAATGAGATCGCAGAGTTCAAACGAAGGCGTTCCGAAGGAATTACCCATGATGTTATATCCACTAGTAACACAATCCTTGAGCAATTTCCGTTATCACACGGAATCCACTATGTTGATTATTGTTGTATAGAACAGTCGTAATGAGGAAGGAAAAGTATTGGACTGCCGCTGAATAAAGCAGCATCGTGATCTACTACATCCTACCAACTCGTCATCGCAGTAGTAATAACGACAGTAACAAATGAATGTTATTTACTGACAACGAGGGAAATTGCGGCCCGCAGCGTAAGTGGCCTTATCACCGAGCTCCTCCTCAATACGCATAAGCTGATTGTACTTGCAAAGACGCTCAGTACGGCAGGGGGCACCAGTCTTGATTTGGCAAGTGCCAAGACCAGTGACAAGATCGGCGATGAAGGTATCCTCAGTCTCACCGGAACGATGGGAAACCATGACGGTCCAGCCGGCGTTAACGGCCATATTGTTGGCCTCGATAGACTCGGTGATTGAACCTATCTGGTTAACCTTGAGAAGAAGGGCGTTCACAGACTTCTCGTTGATACCCTTTTGGATACGCTTGGGGTTGGTAACAAGAAGATCATCACCGACAATCTGGATCTCCTTACCGTCCTTGGCGGTGAACTTGGCGAAGGTCGCCCAATCGTTCTCATCGAAGGGATCCTCAATGAAGACGAAAGGATACTTGTTCATAAGATCCTCCTGGTACTTGATGAACTCATCACCGGTCAGCTCGGCATCGGCATGAGGCTCGGGGTTCTTGAAGTCGAGGTCATACTTGCCAGTCTTGGCATCATAGATCTCAGAGGCAGCGAAATCGCAACCAATACGGCAGGTATCCTCATGGCCAGACTTCTTGATGGCCTCTAAGAGGACGAGAGGGCCTCATCCATGTCCTGAATATTGGGGG